CAAGTCCATCCTCCTAATGCACCCTGAGCAGCGCTGTTCAGGTCGCCGGTGATGTCGGCAAACACCTCGCTGCAGATGATGTCCCGGTCCTCCTTCCTGTCGGCGCTGGCGGCCAGGGAGAGCTTGCGCAGCACCTCGGCTGCCAGGCGACCCTGCACGGCACGGGAGCTCACGGTGCGCCGCATGTCCCACCCCGGGGGCTGGGACCCGGACGTCTCTGTCATCGGAGCGGTGCGCGGCAATGCGGGGAGCGCAGGTTCAGTGCGTGACTCGCGTGGGTTATCGGGGCATGGGCGGGGTGTGCCGGCCCTCCATACACCGGGACGGGGGCGCCCCTGGCTCGATCGGCCCTGCGCGGATCCCAATGGCTCAGACAAACATGTGATGCAACGGAAAACGCTGCAACACGGTGCCCTGCTGAGGGTGGAGGGCCAGGGTCCCGAAGTCGCATTCCAGCTCGGTTTGGTTCGCAATGCAGATCATGAATCTGCTGCTGTGCATGCTGGGACGGTGCTGGCCCGGTGGGTGTGGGAGTGGGCCCCAACCCCCACTGAGCTCACGTGCCAGGATGGCATGCAGGCCTTGCACACAGTGTGCTGCCCGGGGGCTTGTCTTGTGACGGCAGTTGTGGAGCTGAGACTGCCTCCCACCCCTGCCAGCATTCAGCCATGTTGCAGCAGCAGCGATACCAGTGAGAATTGGGGGCGAGGCGGGGGGGGGGGAGGTTACAAGAGGTGCGGCAAGCAACAGCGCGACAGGCGCCGCGCGTCTCACGCCAGGGGCCCAAGGGGGGCGGGGGGCAGCAGCAGGCGATGCAGTACATAATGCTGTACCTCGTCCTTCATCGCAAACACAACGTCCAGGTGGCCCACGTCAAACTCCTTGAAGGTCGCCTGCGGTGGGAAGGTGTGGGGGTCAGGGTGCGGAGGGGCGTGGAGCACGCGGCCTGCCGGCCCACCCTTGGCCAGCGGCCCCCCACCTCACCACCCAAGGGCTGGGTGTCCGCCTCGATCCCCCTCCTCCCACGCCCATACTTCCTCAGTCTCACCCGCACCCCCGCGTCGCGCAGCATGGTGTAGTGGGTGTGCACGTCCGCCGCGGCCACGATGCCGTCCTGCCGCCCCGCCACCATGTCCACCGGCAGCCCGGCCAGGAGGTGGTACTGCGCCGCCAGGTCCGGGGGCCGGGCCACGCCGTAGGCGGCGCGGTTGGCGCGCCGCGACCCGCGGTCGTACAGCCGGAAGCGGCGCTCATTTATGAGCTGCACCAGGTGGGCGCCGGTGTGCAGGCTCAGGGCGGGCATGCTGTACTGGTTGTAGTGTGGCATCTGCACCGCCCGGTCCCACTCGCTGCCGTCCCCGGACAGCAGCAGGCGGAAGGCGGCCCTGAGGTTTGGGAGGAGGGGATAGGGGGGACCGGGCTCGACCTGATGGGTCTCTCGGGGGGAGAAGAGGTTGGCCCAAAGCAGGTTCTTGCAATCGGGTGCGAAAAGGTTGCTTGCAGGCCTGCATCGGCGTCTGGTGGGACAATGGAGCCTCGGATCGCAGCCACACGATTCAGCCGGAAGCATTCTTCCGCATGGGGCCCCCGCCCGCACCTCCGCGGCCAAACCCCTCCCTCCCACTCTCTGCACCTGAGCAGCTCATTCAAAGCCGGCAGCTGCTGGACGTCCAGGCTGAGCTTGAAGGTGATGTAGCGCAGGAGGGATGAGGGGATGTAGACGGGAGCACTCAACCCCGGCCGCAGCCACTCCAGCACACGCATGAAGGTGGGCAGCACCCACAGGAAGATCCAGGCCGCCTGTGAGGATGAAGGGGGGGGGTGGGGGGGGGGGGGCATGCTGGGCGAGTGCACCCTGGACTATCAACATGCCGTTCCGCTACCAATCAGTGTGGGTCTTCGTGCCCATGCCTTTGGTGCAGCATGCCAAGTGTGAAGCATGCTTGTCACGCACAGCCAGCCCACCATGCCCCCTTCCCTTCACCCTGGGATAGTGCGAGTGGTAGCCGGCCGGGGAGAGCAGCACCAGCCTCTTGAGGTGGTGGGCCCGCCCCGCCATCGCGCGGTGCACCGCATAGATGAGCAGGCTGCAGCCCCCCAGGGAGTGGCCCACCGCCTGCAGGCGGTACTGCACGCTTGCGACGCCGTCGTCGTGCGACACCTGGCGTTTCATGGCGCCGCCGACACCGCTCGGCGGGTGCGCTGGGGCCCCGGTGCTGCCCCTGGGCTGCCCCGGAGCTGGAGTCGCAGCTTGGCTTGCGGCGAATGCAGACGCGTGCTTGCCGCTGCACCCCTCCAGCGCCTCCGTCCCAGGCGTTTGCGCATGATGTGCACGGACACCTGCCCCTCCCTCCCGACCGCCTGCCAGCGGAGCGGCTGCGCTGTCGGCAGCCTGTGCCAGCCCGCCCTCCTGACCACGGCCACCCGCGCAGGACGCAGCCGGGCCCCAGCCCTCGTCCGGCGCCATGCTGGCGGCCTCTGCCTGCGCCTCTGTGGTGCCAGGCCCCGGTCCGCCCTCTGGGCCATTCTCCAAGCTCTCCGCACCCCCCTGCTCCAGGTTCCGCCTGGCTGCAAGCACGGAGTCGGAGCCGCTGCGGCGATGGCCGCGTCGAGCGCCGGGGCCGGAGGAGCGTGCGGATCTGCGAGTGCCAAGAGGGTGAATCCGGGTGGAGGGGGTGCCCCTCACGGGACGCAGCGTCCAAAGGGTGATGGGAGGAGAGGAGGAATAGGGCCACGTCCACCCAGCTTCTGTCATCCCAACCACTTTGGGGACAGCGAGGATCCTCATGCGTGAGGATTACCAACGCCGGGGAGGCTCGGAAAACAGCAGGCACACTGCAACAACACTGGAGCCTGGTTGAGGGGCCGGCAAGCCCTATACCCCAGGCAGGCGCTCACCTGGGTAGGCCCAGCGTCCCGTGTCGGTGCTGCTTCCCCTCAGCCGGCCCCCCCTGCTCCTGCTCCTCCTCACGCTGCTCCAGCCCAGACACGCCCATGCCCCCGAGCACATGTCCCAGGCGCCCAGCTCTGGCCAGCTCCGCTGTCTTGGCGCGGTGCACAAAGTCCAGCTGCGAGGGATGGGCATGCGGCAATACAGGAAACTGCGGCTGGGAAATGGCTGTGCAATGTTCCTGAACAGGATCACAGAGTCCAGGTGTAGAGAGGGTCCAGCGAACCTCCCCGGCTCAGTCAGCAGACCCACAGGCACGAGTCCACACCGACCTGCGCATCCATGTCCTGGATGCCAAGCTCATTGATGCTGTAGTACCAGTACCGCAGCCCAGACTTGGCTGGATCTGCATGGAGAGCGGGTCCGGGGATCACAGGGTCACAGCATCCCTTCGCCGGCGACCAGTGGCTAGCATGCGCCTGTATCTCATAGCGCGAGTCACCCAGGAAGTGTCCCTGCACACCCCCTCTCCTCACCAATATGAGCTCGTGGGGGGTTGCTGCGGGAGTTGCCCAGCCAGACGTCAAACCCAGCATCATGGGCTGCAAACGCCTGGCTCCCCTCCACCCCATTGCTGACCCAACTGAGGGAGGTGTCCATGACCCCATGCTGGAAGAAGACCACCTCCTTGGAGTCTGTGGGCAGGGGTTGTTGGAGGATGGGAAGCAGTTGCCAGCCTCCAACCCCATGACTTGCAGCGCCGGGAATCCTGTGCAACACCCATGGTCACGTGGAGGCCGTCACCAATCCCCCAGCGCAGAGGAGGCACACTACCGGTCCACTCCCCACTCCAGCCACAGGCCCCTCACCCTTGCGAGGTATGCGCTGCATGGTGAGGATGTATCCATCCTCTGTGGTGACAATGTGACTCTCCAGCGGGTACCCTGCCTGTGAATTATGAGAGAAATGAAACTAATCAATGAAGGGTGGTAGAAGCTAGCCTGGACCCTTTGTTGCAAGCTGCACAAGCGACCAGCCACAGGAATGATGAGCAACTGCTCGTATTATGCGACCTCGCCCCGGTGCCATGCCAAAGAACCTCACTCCCCCCCCCTCTGTGACTCACTCGTAGTATGGCATCGGCCACCGTCCAGTGCTGCAGATCCTCGGCTGAGTTGAAGGACGGCTTCCGGGACAAGCCACGCAGGTTGTGGGAGAAGGAGCTGGACCGAGGCATCGGTCGCCCATCCCCCTTCCCAGGCACCTGGCACATGGAATGGAAGGAGAGTGCTGTCCTTGAATAGTAATCACATGGCAACACGCCCGCACACATCTGCTCTGCACCCCACAGAACCGCACCCATGAGGGTGGCTCCAATTGTATGGCCCCACGATACCGATTCCACCCAGCCACTCAAACCCCTCTCACGTTGAAGCTGGGGCCCCAGCCGGGATCGCCGCTGCCAGTGACGCTGGGGTCCGGCAGCATCAGCGCCTGCCGGGTGGCGGTGCGCAGCCAGGCAAACGTGTTGGTCAGCGCCAGCTCGGCATTCAGGCGCCCCTCCTCCATGAAACCGCGCCGGGGGGCGCCCTGCGACTGCCCCGAGCCCCCCGGCCGCCGGAAGAGCTCGCTCCCGCTGCTGTGCGCGGGGCGCGGGGCGCGCTCGCCGCCTTGCACTCTGGTGCGCACTGCACGAGGGCCGCTTTGGCTTGCCGAGGCCCCGCGCCCCAGCCGGCCGCGCCACCACCCCCACCGCCAGCGCCACGGCGTGCCAGCGCCCGACTTCGGCGGCAGTCGTGTGAGACCATCATCGCATCCCTGGCGCTGGGCGCGGCCGGATGGGTGCAACCCCGGCGCAACAGACCCATCCGCTCCCGCTCTCTCCCCACCCGGCACCAGGCCATCCCGAGCCAGGATGGCATTGAAGGTGCCTGTCCGGCCCCGGCCTCGGCTCGCCCACCAATCGACCCAGGGGGAGGGACGGGCTCGGGTGGCACGCATGCGCGACGAGGCGGAGCGCCCAAACAGCAGGGTCACCACGGCGTTGGAGGCGCCGTTGAGCAGGCGGGTGGCGTACGCCAGCACCTCCCGCAAGCAGGCCTTCAACGTCTCCTCCCAGTTGGCCATCACCGTGTCCAACCACCTTGGTGTTGCGGTTGCGAGCGGGGATGATGGGGAGGGTTTAAAGTAAGTGCGAGTGTTTGGCTGGGATCCACAAAGTGCGATCTCAGTTATGCGAACAGCCTCGTATGAGTGTCGAACCAGTGCGAGGCCCGGTCGAGCGCCAAGGACATGCATGGGGTTCCTCAGACAAATCAATGAGCCTCACCATGTGACAATGGGCTCCAGGAGCTGCATCTGGCACCATCGAAGCACCAGGAGCACCGCCCACACATATGCCTCGGCCACCTGTCGCACATTGCGGGGTCCCATGTGCGACAGCGCTGTCAGCAGCTTATTCGGAGGCATGTGTCATGCATGGTAATTTTGCCGGGCAGGGATATGCCATGGCATGGAATCGATCGTGGGATGGTGGTGTCGGACGTAATGGACCGCACCGCTCGACGCCAATCACAATGCCAGGGCGCGAGATGGGGAAGCTCCGTTGTCCGCCATCATTAACAGTCGTCGACAGACATGGCCCCAAACCACCAACACACTGCCCAGAAAGGCCAAGAACAATGCATTACCGGCTTGCATGGGGCGTCGGCGCTCAGACGCCTGCAGCTTACACATTCTCAGCTATAAGGCTCAGCCGTGCCCGGGTCCATTCTCAGCATGGAACGCGAGTGAGAGCCCAAGAGCCATCGACCAGCTCCAATGGCGCGGCTCCATCCGATGAGAGGGACAAAGAGCTCCTGGAGAAGCTGAGACTCGCGGAGGTCGAGGTACGCTGATGTCTTGGTGGTGCTGGTGGCACAGTCATTCCATGTTCTCATGTCGAAGAGATCCAGGACTGACCAGCATCCAGCCCACCTGCACCTCGTAGGCAGCCAAGTTGCGCAAGGAGCTGGAAACTCAGGTGCGCAATGTTGGTTTGATGATGGAGGTTGTTTCTTTTGCAGGGTAAGGACCTCTACTGAGCCCACAGCCATGCATCCTTCCCCTCCCATCTCCTCTACAGAAGGCAGGAGGGGGCGGTGGGAAGCTGCAGCCCCCCATTCGACGCATAGATGGACCAGGACTTCGTCGCGAGACGCTTTTCACGGGAGGTACAAGAGCATGCTTGTGACTGCACTGTTGATAGTTGCTGGAGGCGAATGTCAGGTTGTTTTTGTTAATGTGCTTCCCCACCTTGCCTGCCTGCATGCTTTCCAGTTTTGCACAGTCACTTTGGTGCCTCCTGCATACCAGATACTGGGGATCGGAGCTGGCTGAGTGAGGCTGACGTCAGCTTTGTGACTGGCGATGATCCAGACGCAGCTGAGGCGGCCTCTGGAGTTGTGACGGTGAGCTTGTGCGGGTGAACGAGCGTATTCAGAGGAGGAGGAAATCGAATGTGGCCAGGAGGGTGCTGATGTTGTCCTGCACACCATCAGAACCTGTACAACTGATGCCCCTCGCAGCGGCGAGTGCTCTTTGGGGGACTGGCTGCGGCAGGTGCCCTTGCATTCGCCCTCGTACCAACCCAATACATGGCGTCCACTCCCAGCAAGCCGCTCTTCTTTTACATTGCACCCTTGCTGAGGATCCAGGTGTGCATCAGCCCATTGTTGGGTGGATGGGTTAGAATCGTCGCCGAGTGGATGCGGGCTGGCACACTGGGTGCCTGACACTCACCATGCCTCTAGGTCCAAGGGCAACTTCGGTTCTCCCAACCACCATACTAGGCTCTATTACCATCCACTGTTGAGGCAGTGAAGGCAGGCGACACCCAGCGCCTGAAGGAGCTCCTCGCAAGCATCCTGGACAGCCCAAACAATGCCCAGAGCAACCTACGCGCTGCAGCAGCAGGTATCTTGAAACACTCTTGTGGGGATTTGGATCGTGAGAATGATTTGAGGGCACGAAGTTGCGCTCCCATTTACGTCCTGCTCACTTCAGTCCTCACATCTCTGCAGCACTGGAGGGGCGGGGGGAAGCGGAGAGGGCGGGCATCCTGGCGCGAGAGGTGTACGAATATCTGCGCAGCATCGACTACGATGAGTACTACCTTACATATGCGGCCCCAGCCCGGGGGTCCATAAACATCGACATGAATGCCTCAACAGCCTTCTCTCTTCAGGCCGTCCAAGCAGCTCAGGTTAATAGATGTGTTTACAGGGATAAGAGGCGGGAAGGCGGGTTTCATACTGTTTCCAATGGTCCTCTCCAAGGAGTCAGTGGGGTGCCTGATCGGCATCAGGCTGTCATTTCCTCTTCTGAGGAGATGTCCAATCGATAAGTCATGTATGGTAATCCTTGTTGAATCCACCATTGTCCCCTCAAGTCTGCAGGAGAAACTGCGCACATTCCTCAAGCTATTGCCGTCCGATCAAGTGGAAGCTGCTCAATTGATCGTACAACCACCTGCCTAGTGATCAGATCTTCCCTGCAACGTCTGACAGCGACACTCTTGACATGGCGTGGCAGGATGCACGATGGAGGAGTAGGGACCGAGCAGAGCAGATGCAGCGCCGAATGTTTGCGAGGGGTGGTGAAGACCTTGCTATTAATATGTGCGCCACATCACCAGTCAAATCTCCGTTCAGCGGCACTTCAGCGGGGGCGCGTCAGGCGAGCGAGCGCGCCATCCTCGCCCTTGGCACCCAGAACCAGGAGCAGGGCACCAAAAGTGGCCACCTTCAGCGCCACATCCACGATCTGCTTGCGGCCCCAGGACCTGAGCCACGACTCGCGCTCTGCGACTGGCTGGTCGATCATCACCCGGCTGTCAATGACGGCCTTGGTTGGGGCGACGAAAAGGAAGTCGAACACGGGGACGGTCAGGGCGCCTGCCGCGCACGTCAGCCAGGCTGGGTCCCGATCAGGGTCACCTGCAGGGTGGAGGTGGGGGGCAAGCATGTGAGAGAAACGTGACCAAGCATCAAAGTGACATACGTAGCACTGCAACACCCCCATACGGTCCAGATCCCAGCCCCTCACCTGTGAAGTAGGCTGCGGCAGCACCGGCGGCAGTCAGGACGGACAGGGTGGTGGACAGGGTCACGGCCTTGGTGGAGACCTTGGGAAAGAAGGACCAATAGGTGGCGACGCCCGCCTCGAGGCCGGCGGGGTGCTCCGCCGCGGCAATGTAGAGCCCCGACCCGGCATTGAGCCCGGCAGCAGCGGCAGCGATCAACTCCCACATCGCTTCTCGTGGCTGGGCGTGTACCTGGGCGGTGGATGAGATGGCGGGGGGGTGAGATGACTTGGAGAAGCGCGGGGCGCAGTGAAGCATCGAGGCATCATGCCCGGCATCGCGGCAGCAATGCTTTCCGACACGGTGTCGGGGAGGCCACCGGCTGACCATTCCCAAAGCGAACCTGAGGGCTATGGGATGGCAAGTGGATGTGAGGATGTGGATGGAGCCTTGATGCGTTATCTGAATTGTATAGTGCTTGGAGTGTCGACCGGTTTCACTTCCTCGGCGAACTGTAAGGGATACACCTCATTTCACCGGGAGGTGTCGGGCAGCTGCCCATCGACTTCCTTGGTTAAGTACGAGACTGATCCTCAGAAATCAAGATGCCTTCCCCATTCCCTGTGCTGCAATGCCTTCAACTCCAGGGTGCTGTATGAATGTTCCACCTGGAACATGCATCCTTGCACATTGGCACAACAATGCACGAGGTGCCCAACTGCGGTAGAATGGAGGGCGCCTGAAGCTCCAGTCCCCTGACGACACCCCTGGCCGTCATCATGCCCCCCCGGTGCGCAGCTGCGGCGCGAGGCCGTGCTGCACCACGTCCTGGATGGCTCCCAGGCCCTGGGGGTGCGCCACGCTGCCGCCCGCCAGCTGCACGCTCAGCGTGCGCACGGTTTCCACCGAGTTGCTCAGCCTCTCCAGAAGGTTCACGAGTGCGATGACCTCGTTCCTCTCCAGCTGCAGGCCTGGGGGGGATTATTTGGAGGGACAGAGAATGGGAGGGTTGGCCCATGGGGCGCATGGAGGTCCTGCATGCCCGAGCAAACACACCCTGGGGTTGTAGAGGCAGGGGACAGGCCAGATCCTGAGCTGGCCATGCGTCGCCCAACCCCTCCCACAGCACCCACCTTGCTCGGGGACTGGGGCGCCGCTGCAGTCCTCGGCGGAGAACAGGATCTTGAGACTGGTGGCCACCCCCAGGAACTGCAGCTTGCCCCACATCTTGCACTTCTCGCACCCCACACAGTCCATCACCCGCGTAATGTTCTGGAACGTCGCCTGGAAGGGGGAGGGGAGGGAAGGGGAGGGGAGGGAAGGGGAGGGTGGGATGATACGGTGGGCGGCTCAACATCGAGGCTCTCTTGAGGGTTGGCGCGCACCAAGGGTTCCCAGGGCGCCGAGATCGAGTGCCAGGCGATTGCGAGCCTGATCGCTGTGGAGGAAGGCGGCAGGCATGGGCCGGCACGGCGATCATGCCACCACCGCAGCGATTCAAGGGCTCAGGTGGGTGCCCTGAGTGGCGGCCCAGCGAGCAATCCCCTGTCCTCCTGCCGCAGGCTGACCAACCACTCCCTCCCAGGTACACACGACGATGCTCGGCTGCAAGCATCAAGCCTACTCCCCACCCCCACCCGACATCCCCGCTCACCCGCAGCTGCTCCTTCACCACGGGGCCCTCCTCGCCACGCCAGAGCCTGCCTTCGTCAAAGGGGATGGGGCACACCTGCTGCAGCGCCGCGTTGTCCAGCAGCCTGTGCGGAGTGATGTGGAGGGAGCGCAGGTGGGGCTTTTTATGAATCGCGAGGTCGACTTTCGAGACCCGAGCAACAGTAGGACAGGAACGGTCTGCATGACTGGCCGTTCCCAAATCCCTTGAGCGTGTCACACCCTGCCTTGCCAGCCAGTAAATCAGGGCTCCTGGACAGTACCGCCTCACAAACCCAGCTGCCCCTGTCTCCATTCCTGACCAATTCCCACCCCCAACCCCCCCCAAACATTACAACCCCCAGCCATGCCGCCCACTTGTGCATGAAGTGCTGCGTGGCCGCGTCCTCCTCCGGCAGGCCCGTGGAGTATTCCACGCCGCGCAGAAGGGGCGCTGCCTTCTGCACCGCGCGCAGCACGAAGAGGTAGGCGAAGTAGAGGTTCTCCACGCGGTCCCGCAGCTCCGGGGAGCCCAGGCGGCGCCTGAACTCGGCCAGGTCCGGGCCCCAGGCGTAGACCTCGCCCGTGTCGTCGCGCAGCGGCGATTCCGCCACTAGGTGAGCGGAGATGGAGGCATGCAGGCCGGAGATGAGGCGGTAGAAGACCCGGAGCTCCGGCGCGGCAGAGGCCCCTGCCTCCAGCCCCGGCTGGCCGTAGATGGCCTGCCACACGCGTGCGGCGTGCTCCCCCGCGTACCCCGTGAAGCGCTCGGGGTTGCGCTGGAGGTTGATGTAGGCGTACTCCACGCCGGCGTCGTCCGCCTCCGGCATCCAGGGGTTGCGATACCCGCGCCAGTCTGGTACTGCCAGCAGCGCGCGTCGGATGTCTGGCTGCAGCGTGCGGTCCAGCGCTGACTCCTGCGCCGCCGCTGCTCGTGGGGTGGTGGATAGAGTGGGGGTTGAGGGGAGGGAGTGCTGGGGCAGCGGAGCGATCTGTTGGTGGTCTGCCCGAGAGGCCCCAGCCGGCCGTCAAATCTGCAAGATACCACTGGCCAGGAGTGAACGACCCCGGCTTCCGTGCTCCCAAGTGCAGTGACCAACAAACACTACGTCATGCATCCTCGCCGCCCCTGAACTCCCACCCTCCAACACACGCACCTGCGCAGGCGGCGGCGGGAGAGTCGGCGGAGGCGAGTCGCCCCTCGGCCGCGCGCCAGATCTTTGGCACCTCGTCCTCCTCGCACTCGCAGACGCTGCAATCGCGCATGGCGCACATGCCGTCGTCCGGCCAGAAGGGGCAGTCGCAGTAGAGGTCCACCTTGAAGTAGCGGAAGAAGGCCGACTGGACCAGCTTGTCCAGGATGGGGCCGATGTCGTCGCGATTCACCTGCTCCACCGCCGAGTAGCTGCAGCCTGCAGGGCGGAGGGATTGGCAAGTAGGGTAGGGCTTTGGTGCAGGGGTTAAGCTAGGTGGGGGAAAGAGGGGATGCCACAGCAAATCGGCCTACGCCGAAAAATCACCGCCCTTGTCATTGGAGCACCCCCAATGACGACCCCCGGAAACACCAGATCCTGCAACCCATGAATACTCACAGCAGTCCACCACGGTCCCAGACATATGGCAGGAGTTGGGCTCATTCAAACCCGCGAGGTTCTGGCATAGGAGCAAGGGAAGGGAGGGTGTCACTCCTCTAGCACGCGCATAGCGCCCATTGTCCAGCATAGAGCGATATTGAGTGTACTGCACAGTGATCACCCTTGATCGGGATACACCCGAAATCTCAGCTCACCCCACAGTGACAAGGCGTGTCGAACAGCTCCACCGCCGGCCGTGCCACCCCGAGGGTGGAGGCCAATCCCGGCGGCAAGTGACTCGATACCCATGACGGTAATCTGAGCTGCAGCCCTGGCGTCCCTGCCTGTCTCTGGAAGACAGCAATGCCTAGGGAGAGTAAGACCACCATGGCGCCCACTCGGGACAGCTTGGTCATGGACCTGGCTCGCTAGGGCGGGTGTCGTCGACGTCGAAACCCACACCTTCTATGTCCTTCCACGAATGTGCCACACGTAGTTGAGCAGGCGCAATGCTCCTCGGCCACGACCTTAAAAAACAGAATGGGTATCGATGCCGCTGTGTTGCGTCGTCCTGCTGTCCAATGCAACGCGCGTTCACGACGTCCGTGGTGTCCTTGCAGAGCAGCTGGCTGAATTCGCGGCGTGTTGAAGAAAGAAAGCCAGTAGAAACCGTCCAGCGACGTGTCCCTGACGTAGAAAGCATGGTGTACTGCAACCAGAGGTCAAATGGTGCAGCATGGCATTGGAGCACATACAGCTTGTTGCCGCACTGCAGAAACAATGGGAAAGGTATCTTGTGGACCAGCGATCAACTTGGCCGCTCCATAAAGAACATAATGCTGTTGAGAAGAACATCCATTCTACTCGGTCTTTGCCGCAAAGAATCTGGTGATGGACTGCCTCTTCTCCTTGGCCGCACTCTTGTACAGCTTCAGGACTTTTTGCACACTGCTGCTGAGGCCCTTGGCGTCCAGGGCTTCCTGCTCCAGCCACTGGCACTCCGGGCACTCGCTGGATCGGCCCGAGCCACGCTTCCAGTCCTCCAGCTGGGCGGCAGAGGCCTGCACTTGGTTGAGGGCCAATGGCGATCTGAGTGGTCAGGCATGCCCGTCCCACTGTTGTTCTGGTAAGGGCTCCAAGGCGAGACTTGAAACATGCAGCCCTTCATCTCTCGCCCGGCATGAATGCCGGACGGCAGCCCCCTGATCACTATGGTAATGCACAGCACCCCAAATGCGGGCAGGCCTGACGACACCCAGAGCTCAGAAAGAAAGCACGACGCACCGCAACGAGGACGTGCTCGGCTCGGATGGTCATGCGGATGTGGGAGAAGATGTGGACGACCTCGCCCAGCGCCCGCCGCGACACGACCTTCGGCGCGGTGCTTTCCTTGGACTCATCAAACAGGCCGGGCAGGAGGCCCGCCAGCAGGGAGTCCACGGCGCGCTGCTGATTGGCCGCGCTTTCCTCCCCGCCGCCCTCAAGCTCGGCGAGCGGGAATTGCCAGAGCCCGGCCAGCAGTCCCTTCTCCGGCCGCTTGACCAGGAGGTAAGCGGGGCTGAAGGCCTGCATGCCAGGTCCCGTGCCGCAGCAAGGCCTGACCTCCAGCACGGCCACCGCCACCTCCACCTCCCTCCTCGCCGCCTTTTCCACCTATGTGGGCATGTTTGGGAGACTGGAGGGAGTGGTGCGACAGAGAAATGCCCGTGTGTCGTGTTGATAGTCGGGCATGGCACGGCCAGCATGCGTTTTGCGCGCTGGCACAGTGGCATTGCTCGAATCCTTCGAGATTGAATGGTCAGTTTCAACACTGCGGGGCCCGCTGGACCCCGTGTCTCTTCTGTGGAGAGCTGATTTCAGTTCTGCAGGAGGCATGGAGCCCCCCTCCCCACGCAAAACCGGGGTCAATCACCCACATGCGCCGCCGCACCTTGGTGGGGTAGTCGGTGACGCGTGGCCCCGGCACCCCCGGCGTGGGCCCCGCCTCGCCCCAGTGCTCTCGCTGGCGGCGTAGCGCGGCGCAGCGGCCCGCCAGCGGGCACGCGTCGCAGCGCGGGGCCGTGCCGGGGACGCAGACCGTCGCCCCCAGCTCCATCATGGCCTGGTTGAAGTCGCCCGGGCGGCCGGGGTCGAGCAGCGCGGCGGCGGCGGCGGTCAGGCGCGGCGCCATGGCCGCGGGGTCCCCCGCGCGCGCCAGCAGCCGCGTCAGCACCCGCACCACGTTGCCGTCCAGCACGGGCACCGGCTCGCCGCAGGCGGTGGAGGCGATGGCGGCGGCCGTGTACGGCCCCACGCCCGGCACCGCCAGCAGCCCGGCGGCGGTGCGCGGGAAGGCGCCTGCGCACTCGCGCGCGACGTGGCGCGCGCCGTCCAGGAGGTACCGCGCGCGGCGGTAGTACCCCAGCCCCGCCCAGGCCTCGTTCACCGCGTCCTGGTCTGCGGCGGCCAGGTCGGCGACGCGCGGCCACCGCGCGACCCAGCGCCCAAAGTACTCTGCCACGCGTGCCACCTGGGTCTGCTGACTCATCACCTCGCACACCCAGGTGCGGTAGATGGTCTCGTCCAGGGGCAAGCCCTCGGGGGCAGGGTGGAAGCCGGCGGCGGCGGCCGCCGCCAGCGCCGAAGGGGGGAGGCGGGAGTGGGGGTTGCGGCGCCACGGCAGCACCCGGTGGTTGGCGTCGTACCAGTCCAGGAGGGAGGCACGCAGCTGCTTGTTTGGGGTGGGGGTGGGGTTTGGGACATGGAGGGGAGTCCAGACAGGGACAGCGGGCAGGCGCCGACGAGCAGCAAGTTCAGCCGCAGACAAAGCTCTGCCACGGGACCCACCACATTCAACCTGCGGCAGCTGCTCGACGTCTTTCAGCAGGTCCTCCATCTCCGGCTCATCCTGCTGCGACGACAGCGAGCGCTTGCGTGGCGGCATGCCGGCGGAGCCTCGCAGCGCGCGGGGTGGCAAGGGGAGGCGGCACCTCACAGGCCCAGCATGCCTCCTTGTCAAGGGCAAGGGGCGAAGGAGACAGGCAGTCCTGCACGTCCTTCGAATCTGGATGCGGAGGAACAGCCTGTTGCCCTGCTGTGGATCTGTGCAGCACGGCGAACTTTACAGCTGAGCGAGCTGCCCAAGGCGCCGCCCTGGTCCCCAGGCCTGGGCTCGCACGAAGTACTGAGATTACAACAAGGTCCCTTGGGTCAGGATCGCACTGGATTTTGAAGAATCCAAGGGTCACATCAGACAATGAGGGGCGCGACGGGGCGTGGATTCGAATTTCGCGAGGTGAATCGAAGATCGAGAAGTTTGCGCGCCCGCAAATCCCGACGACAAGAACCCCAGGGAAACTCCCTGCTGACTGCCATACATCCATAAGAGGAATAGTCATTAATATTCAGTATAACTCTACATCGTCTGATATCATCACGCCGCTCCTACCTGCTGGTTGACGTGCGTTCCCCCGACATGGTGGCTCAGGAGTCTCCGGAAGCGTCGGGGTGGCGCCTCTTCCGCAAGGCCGCCTCGCAGACCACCCAAGACTCGAATGTCTCTCAGTCAGATGTGGGTTCTTTCACGAGTAAACCACCCGCAAGTGCCTACGGTGGAGGTGCGTGGAGCAGATATTCTTGTATATGGTGGTGGGGGAGGAAATGCTGATGGTCCAACACAGCGTAGTCCTCTGTCTTTCAGAGCACATTCCTAACAATGATATCATGTTCACAAAATGTTCTGGATCTGGGTTATGCATGCGGTCAACCTGTATTGAACCCATACTCTGAGGTTGTATGCTCCAGGTCCACCATGTCCCCACCACCGCCAACACCCCTCCAGGCTGCCCCGTCATCGGGGCCACCCCCTCCGCAGCCCCCCCCCCCTCGGGTGGTCTGCATCAGGCAGTGGCTGCCCCGTGGTGGGCTCCCCCTCGCCCAACGGCATGCCCTCCTCCAGCAACTCCCCCCAGCCGGGGCAGTCCAAGCCGCTGTCCACCTGGCGCCAGGCGTCCAGCATCCCCGCAGGCGGCGAGGCCCCCCTGCCCGAGCACCAGCCCGCACACGGCGTGCGGTCCGGGGTGTGGACCTACCCCTCCGAGCAGATGTTTTACAACGCGATGCGGCGCAAGGGCTGGACGCCCTCGGAGGAGGACATGACGGCGGTGGTGGCCATCCACAACGCGGTGAACGAGCGCGCATGGCGCGAGGTGCGGGCCTGGGAGGCGGCGGCCGGCTGCCCGGCGCCCACGCTGCTCCGCTTCCGCGGCCGCCCCGCCGACGTCTCGCCCAAGGCCCGCCTGCTCAACGCGCTGGGCTACCGCCTGCCGTTCGACCGCCACGACTGGGTGGTGGAGCGGGGTGGTGGGCGCGAGGTGCGCTACGTCATCGACTTCTACAACGGCGCGCCCTCCCCAGACATGCCCACCGCCATGCACCTCGACGTCAGGCCCGCCCTGGACTCGCCCCTGGCGCTGTGGGAGCGCCTGCGCATGCAGGCGGGCTGGGTGGCCAGCGGGCGGTGGCAGCGGGAGTGACGAGGGACTTGGTTGTGTTTGGTGCATCATGGAACATGTGAACCGGCTCGGAATCCTGGCGCCGCTCCTGGCGCATTGGAAAATGTACGTGGTGCGACGCCATTCACCCCTGCCTCAGCCCCTTGCTTGCCCCTCCCATACGTTGACTGTTCTTGGTAACGCAGCTCACTTGCTACCATGTAGAATGAAGACTCCAAAGGAAGCTAGTGATAGTATGTTGTGACATCGGCTTTCACTCCAGCCAGCATGGCACTCAGCCAGGCATGCGTGGGACAGAGTATCATCCAGGAGTCTGCTAAAGTTCTGTCCCTGAGCAAAGAAGAACGCACGCTCCCACCAACACAAGTCGAGATAATCAGTCGCCGCCAACGATTGTCCTGAGTGACACAGGCATTGACGGGTGCATTACAAAATTGGATGGCAAGGGATCGACTCAACTGTACTCCAAGACTGCAAATCTGCAGCGCCCTGCATGAAGGACAACTCCCACAAGCGTGTCACAGGATCTTGTGAATGGCGTTGAAGAAGCCTGGGCGCTCCTCCTGCGCTGCGGCCGCCTTGTCGGCGCTGGTCACGGCCACCACGCGGCCCTTGTCACGCACGGAGGCGAGCACCTCAGCAAAATCGTGGAAGTCGGACAGCTGGGTGCCCAAAATCTCGTCCCTGTGGGAAGTAGGTACATGCAGTGGAGGAGGTTGAGTGGGCAGGCAGGGGAGACATGAAGGCAGCTGCTGGGGATGAGGAGGCCATGGATCTGGAAAAGGAATGCGCCATGGTTTGGGCAGTCCATCACGGCGACCTGCATGACCAAGCCATCGACACCAAAACCACTCGCGCACCTGCGCTGCTGGCGCTCCTCCTCGGAGACCTCGAGCAGGTGGCGCATGAACGCGGTGCGGCCCTTGGCGTCCGGCAGCTGGTAGGCGTCGATGTCGCCGATGGTGCCGATGATGGCCTTGCTCAGCTCATCAGGCGTCAGGTCCACACCCTTCAGGAAGTCGATCGTGCCTGGAAAGGGAAGGGGGGGGGGGCGAGGTTTGAAGAAATGTTCATCGGCCGTGATCCTTGTGGATGTGTAGCTTGAGAATCCTCTTGGACCACGGGCTCCGTCGAACCCAAGACCCCGCCGCCCCCCTTCCCCCAGCCATCTGGACAGTAACAGTCATCCGCGCCTCTCACCGTCATACACGTCCACCGTCTTGAGGAGATTGGGGTCGCGGTAAGAGGAGAAGGTGAACATCCCGTTGTGACTGTCAAAGTCGCAGAAGCCGCCGTATGCGCCACCGGACACGCGTACCCTGTGAGTGGAATGGGGATAGAAATGTTTCCAGCGCTGGCTCCCGCCACTAAAGCTGAGCCTGACGGGAGTCTCATCAACTCTATGCAGACTGTAAAAGCTTTACTCCACAATCATGCTCAACCAGATCCAGCACCTGGCGCCTCACCTGTCCCAGATCCAGGACGTCCCAAGGAACTTGTTGATCACGTACGAGGTGCCAGACAGCTTGTACCCCGCATCCTCGTACAGGTTGGCCGCCTTGCACACATAGTTCACCTGGCAGGAGAAGAGGGGGGGGAGGGGGGAAGCAGATGAGCAGAGGGTCGCCGTGGCCAGTGGATGGTGTTCACCCTTGAGAAGGATATGACAACATAAGAAGGCCGGCAGCTGTTCAGACCACATGATATAGAGCTGTCTCAATCCCATGCACCACCCCTCGGGACTCGGCTCGCACAGGCTGCCCAGTAGCACCCATGCTTCACGAGCACACCACCATGGACTCCCGTGATGTCATCGCATACGCATCATACCTGGGTGGGCACGACCAGTGCCTCGCTTGCGGGGTCCAGGGTCTGGTTCCAATCAGCGCGCTGGCCTGGCAGGGATGGCAGCGCCGACAGGAAGTCGGCCAGGGGCCCCTCCGTCGCACGCAGCACGCTTTCATCCCCGGTGATGTTCACCAGAGCGCCGTCGCGCTGCAGGAGCGTGGACCTGCATCGAGAATTTGGCGTGTGGGTGGAGAAGTGAGCCGGTGCAACAGTGGGGGTGGAATGGTGATGAGCAGTCAGGACAGTCGGCACGTCCAGGGTTGATGGCATGCGAACAGCATGGCGGGGTTCAGCAGGCCTTTGCAGGGGCAGGGCCAGCCTGTATCATTACACGACCTCCACAACCCAACCGACCTGATGGTCTCCAGGTCGCGGCGCACCCCCTCCCAGTCGGAGTCAACACGCTTGGCCAGGGTACGGAGGTACTGCAGGTACTCCACGCCCCCCATCTGCTCCGACACCCACCCAGCGGCGCTGCGGATTGCGGTAGGGCAAACGCCAGTGTTAAAGGGTTTGTGCTGCGTTGTAAACCCTCACAGAACTGTACACCAGCACTGCGCCATGGCCTGGGCCATGTGGAGCATGCGTTTTCACTGACAAACGCTCTGATACGGTGGATGCAGACGCTGCGCCGGAACCCGTGCTCTACCAGATGCCTGGCTCTCTCTGAAAGCACGGTGCCTGCAGCCTCCCTGGTGTCAGCCAGCCAACAGCACCCTGAATATATCCAAGACCTCCCTCCCCTCCTCACCTCCTCTGAGCATCCAGGCGGGACCCGGCAAAGGAGTGCCCGCTGCCCACTATGCCCGCCTCCATCCCGCTCCTCGTTTCCAGCACCATCTGGAGTGTGGGTGCGTGGGCGGCGGGTGAGCCGCTCCGTGGCACCAAGACAACTGCCTCCCGGAAAAGGCAGGGCATCACGATCGCCAGCTCCTTCTCTTTCCACGCCCTCCCAACATCCTCGTTTCCTCCTTCCCTTCCCCCCCCCCAAAAAAAACGGAGAACACATCCCCCCCCCCACAAAAAGAGCAGATACCTGCTTGAAGCGCGCTGCGTCGTCCAGCCGCGCAGTGAGCAGGATGTCGTGGAAGACCTGGAGCAGGTCCCCTGCCTTGTCTGCGGTGGCCTTGCCGCGCACCATGAGGTAGCCCTTGGGCAGGGGGCTACCCTTGACAGAGGTCACAAAGGGCGACACCGACACGCCCCCCGTCTTGCGCCCGATGCGCTCCGTGAGCGTGATGAAATCCTCCTCCTCCGTCCCCATGTTGGTCAGGCACCTGGTGGTGGAGGGGTGGGGGGATCGAGACGACGTGGCGAGAGCCAGCTTGCTTTTGGTGATGCCAGTCCCCTCCACATGCGCGCCGTCGACCCCTTGTTCCTCTCCCCTCCCCAGGAGTACAAGCGCACTCACACCCACCTGCAGAACAGGGGCACCAGGGGCAGGAGCTCTGGACCCAGACGCGTAAGGTCTAGTGCCACATCCAGGTACAGGATGTTGTTGGTGAAGAGGTCATGGGTGAGCTGCGTGGCGCCGCTGGCGTGGATGCTCACGGTCGTAGGCGTGGTCGTGATGGTCTTCGGGATGTCTGGAGTTGGGGGGGGGGAGACAAGGGGTAAAGCTTTCATGATGTGAGCCAGGTTTGAGACGATGATGCAGGTGAGACCGTTCCTGTCATCGCATCCCCATCTCCATCCTCACCCCCTCACCCCACGTACAACTCCCGTCACATCATCCACTGCACAACAGCCACCCACCCGACAGGTGGAGCAGGGGAACGCAGGCCAGCGACTCGGGCGTGTCTGGCGTCTCCTGACGCTCCTTCAGCTCCCGCGTGGCCTGGATGGTGGCCTCCACCTCCTCCTTGCTCATGCCGGCGCGCTTGGCGGCCAGGGCCTCACGCTCCCGCGCCTCCCTTTCCTCGCCCAGCTTCTCGTCCGGCACCAGGCGCACCGACACGCGGTGCGGGTTGTCCAACAGGTACTTCCGGATCAGGGGGCCTGGGCGGGGGTGGAGGGAAGCAGAAAATACGTGTTCGTTCGAGTTGTTATGAGCGCGGCATGCAGCAGGTGGGCATGAGCGACGGCTGTCCAGCCGGCAAGGCCTGACTTGGGGCTGGGCCGCACCCCCAGGGGACGAGGGCGGCAGGGGCTCCCCCTGGCCTGCGCAGCACGACGAGCTGGGACCCCTGTCAGCCAGCCACCCAATGCACTCCTGACCCCCCCATCCACCTCGCCCCACACCAACCACCCACACCAATGCCCCACCAAAGACGTCGCTGCCTTCCGCGATGCGGGCCTTGAACTTGGCCAGGTCGTCCTCCCACTTGAGGGGCTGGAAGGGGTCGCGGTCGTAGATCCAGGTGGCCATGCTGCGCAGCATGAGGGAGAGGCCGCGCGGGAAGCGGCCCGTGTTGTTTTCGCGCAGCGCGAACTCGATGGTGTTCAGCGAAGCCTCGATGGAGGTGGCGCTGAAGCCCTCGCGCTCCAGCCCCTCCAGCGTCTCCAGGATGAGCGCCTCCACGGCCTCCACGTCGCCCGCGGCCACGCCCTTGAGGCCCACGGAGAAGGCGGGCTGCCGCATCTCGTCCTCCATCCCGCCCCCCGATCAGGCTCTCCCCCAGCCCGCTGTCGTTCAGCGCCTTGCGCAGCGGCGCCGCCGGCGTGCCCAGCAGCAGGGAGTTCAGGAAGCCCAGCGCCAGCTCCGTCTCCAGGTCCAGCTGGTCCTCCGCCAGCAGCCAGTTGAGGGAGACGAAAGTCTTAGGCTCGCCGCCCTCCTCCACGGCGCCCGCCGCATAGCGCTCAGTCACCACGCGCGGCTGCGCAAGCAGCGGCTGCGGGCGCACGACGCTGTCCACCTGCCGCGCCTCGAAGCCGTCCAGGGCCGCAGCCAACAGGCGCAGCCGCTCCTCGGGCTCATCGTCGCCGTAGAACCAGAAGCGCGCGTTGGACGGGTGGTAATACCGCGCGTAAAAGTCCTGCGTAAGTGAAAGGGGGGGGGGGAAGGGGGGGTGAGGACAAGCTGTACTTCTTCTCCTGCTGTCAGACAACAAGTCAATAATAGTCCGATCAGCACACCCCATTCCCTCGGCCACAGGAGCGCACACTTGTTTGTGATTCACCTCTGCATCCAGCTTTGCTCCTTCCCCAGGCAGCAGGTTCCCTTTGCACCGTCTATCTAACCCCCCTCAATGCCCCTTTCCCACCATCCCAAACACACAAAAAACAACGACCACCACCAAACCCCAGCGCACCTTGAAGCCGTCAAAGGTGAGGGTGGGGATGGCCTCGGGGTCGCCGCCCGAGTCCTTGGCGTAGGTGCTGTCGGGGTGAAGGGCGGCCTGGGTGACGCGGGCATTCACCGAGTCCGGGGAGGAGTAGACGCCCTTCATCTCGTTGAACACCACGCCCTTGAGCGTCAAGGGCTCGGCCTCGCCCTCCAGCTCGTAGTGCCAGCCCTCTTGCGCGAAGATTTGGGGGTCGCTCACGCAGTTGGGGTGCAGCACCGAGTCCAGGTAGACGTCCACCAGGTTGTAGAAGTCGCGCAGGTTGGCGGAGGCCACAGGGTAGCAGGTGCGGTCAGGGTAGGTGAAGGCGTTGAGGAAAGTGTTCAGGGAGCCCTTCATCAGCTCCACAAACGGCTCCTTGATGGGGTACTTGTCCGACCCGCACAGCACCGAGTGCTCCAGAATGTGGGGCGTGCCCTTGGAGTCATCCACGGGGGTGCGGAAGGTCGCGCCAAAGGTCTTGTTCTCGTCCTTGTTGATTACAGACATCAGCTGCGCGCCTGGGAGGGCGGCGATGTGGAGAGTGTGGGTAGGTGCTGAAGTGGGCAGGTCACGGAATGCCTCCACGGCTTGGGGTCCCTTTGTATGCAGCAAATGGCTTTGTGGATCAAATGGTATAGACCAAGGGAAGCACCCAGGGCTCGGGGACAGGAAGTGGCGTGGAAAGGGCCCTGGCAAAAGAAGGGACTTAGGCATACATCCCATTCCGGCTCAGATCCCCAGCCAAACCCAAAATCACCATACCAGTCTTCTTGTGCCTGTACAGAAGGGCGGTCGAGTCATACTCTGCCAGATACTGCTGCTCCACCAGGGTGAAGCCATGCGCCTCCTTGGGCGCGTTCACCGCCGGATGGGAGGCGGGTGCGGTTTCCTGAGGTGGGAACGGTGCGCAGAGGAGGAGATTTACGGTAAGCAGCAAGCATCACACTACGTGCTCTTGCAGGTGAACTCACACACACACACCCCACGTGCATTGAGCGGGGTGGCGACAGCAGCGACGGAGAAGGGCCGTCTGGATCGACGGATTGCGTGGGGCTGGGCGCGTAGGGCGGAGCCAGGGGTCGGAGAGCACGACAGTCTGGCTGGCTGAGGGCGCACAGCCGTGAAAAATGCCTGCAAGTGGGATTCATGTTATGGGGCATGAGGTTCCGATCCGAATGGCCTTCCTTGACACCGCGCAGGAGTCAAAGATGTACGGAAGCCTCTCGTGCATCCTCGTGTGCTTGCAGCCAGACACACCACACAGCCGGTGCTGCGCCGACCACGCAAGGGGGGACCCACATACCCGATGTGCGCTGGTTGTACTGAGACGTAGGCTGGATAAGCGGACGGCGCTGGTCATGCGGATCGCGGCAAACATAGCGCGCACCGAGGATCACCCAAGGACCGTGTCCCTGTGCTGTTCGTGTGTGTGCGGACCAAAGGGGTTGCTCGACAAACCACGATACTCAGATAAGTGTTGTTCTGTATGCTCTCTGTGCAATGCTGGACTCTGAAGCGTCCTTGCCTTCCCCGTGCATGCCCAGATTTAGATGACGTCCCAGAATGCGCGGGCGCGCAAATCTTCCCACCCTCGAAATCAAGGGTACCAGCTCAGGCCGAAAGAGGCCCGTACGCTATCCTGTCACGACGGCCTTCATCGCTGGATTGTGCCTCGATGAATCTAATCCTACCGTCTGCTGCGTGCCGCGCCTGATCGAGGGATCACTCTCTTGACCATGACATCCTCGGACAGCGTCTCCAGCAAGCTCCAAGCGTTGCAGGCACGCAATCAATCATCCTTGCTGCATACAGTATGGTGCATAGGAATTTGATTAACATCAGCTTATCTCGTCCATGTTCTCAGGCATCGGTGGAGGGTCTGAAGGATGCGGAGCTCAAGGCAGCGGCAACAGACGTGGGTTCCCCTCGAGGCATCAGGGTCGGGCGATCAGACAGCATACGGTCATTCAGAAGCAAGCTTCATTCCAACACCAACATTCTCCCTGCTGCAGTTACAGGAGCAGCTCCAGGCGCTGCAGGCGCGCATGAGTGCCCTGCTCGGCAGGAGCGGCAACACCTCACCTGGCCCGCCCCCCGGTGGTGCACCCGCCCCCCCCGCCCGCCCATCCATAGCCACGATGAGCGACGAGGTGGTAGACAGCAACCCATACAGCCGGCTCATGGCGCTGCAGCGGATGGGCATCGTGACCAACTACCAGGCCATCCGCCAGAAGACGGTCGCCGTCGTGGGGATGGGCGGCGTGGGCTCAGTGGCTGCAGAGATGCTGACTCGCTGCGGGGTCGGCAGGCTGCTCATGTACGGTGAGTCGGGTGTGGATAAGATGAGGCACTGCCTTGGGGTGCCAAGGTGCTGCCGAGTGCCTGCTGCTGATGGGTGGAGACCTTGCGATTCCCATTGCATGGTCTCCGTTTGCCAATGCTTGTCCTGCAGCCACCCCCCAACTGAGAGCCTCCTGGCCCCCCAGCGCCCTAGCCTGCATTCCTCTGTGCTGTCCCCAGGAGAAGCCTGCGTCTATCCTCGCGCATGGGGCATTGCATTGCCGAGAACCACACCGTGTGGGTCCAGCTTTGCTTCCCACACCCATCTGCTCATCCCCATCCCTCCACACATAAACACCTCTCACCCCCCCCTCGTACCTGTGCCAGACTACGACACGGTGGAGCTGGCCAACATGAACCGACTCTTCTTCCGCCCCGACCAGGCTGGCATGACCAAGACCGCCGCCGCCGCGGCCACGCTGACCGGGATCAACCCGGACGTGGCCCTGGAGGCCTTCACCATGAACATCACCACCCTGGCTGGCTTCGAGGCCTTCAAGCGCAGCCTGAGCGACGGGGCTGGTCGATCGCGCGTGGACCTGGTGCTCAGCTGCGTGGACAACTACGAGGCCCGCATGACCATCAACCAGGTGGCTAGCGAGTGCACAAGTCGGTGCTGCTGTGAGGGGAGCAACAGGGGGATTGCCTGGGCTGACGCTTGTTGGCACCTTTTCGATGCAGCTGGGCGTTGGGCCCCACCCAGTCATCGCTGTGACGGGCATACAGCCCGGCTCTGCGCCTCACGACACGGAAGCTGTCCACCCGGATCACATGGCGCTGACTCCCACCCCGTTCTCCACTCCACCCCGACTCACACAGGTCTGCCTGGAGCTCAGCCAGGCCTGGATGGAGTCGGGGGTATCGGAGGACGCCGTCTCCGGCCACATCCAGACCATCCTGCCGGGAACCACGGCCTGCTTCGCCTGCGTGCCCCCGCTGGTGGTGGCCTCGGGCATCGACGAGCGCACGCTGAAGCGGGAGGGTGTGTGCGCGGCCTCCCTGCCCACCACCATGGGTGTGTGTGGGTGGAGAGGGGGACAGGCCCGGCTGGGTGTCCCGGCGTGGCTGCGTGTCGGCCACCGGCGCGAGGGCGGCTGGGGCCGGGCATCGCGCCCTTGGGCACCGCAGCTCTGACCCTGATCCCGCTGGGATCCTCGGTTCAGAACCGTGCGGGGGCTGGGCATGCCCCCACCGGGACCCCCGCATGCTGACTGCTTCCACGACCACACCACCCCCACCACCCCCGTAGGCATCGTGGCGGGGCTGCTGGTCCAGAACTCGCTCAAGTACCTGCTGGAGTTTGGGAGCGTGACGCGCTACCTGGGCTACTCCTCCCTCACCGACTTCTTCCCCACGCTGGACATCAAGCCCAGCCCCGGCTGCCCCAGCGGCCTGTGCCTGCAGCGGCAGGGCGAGGCGGCGGCGGCACGCGCCGCGGCGGGGCCCGCCCCGGCCGCTGCCGAGGCCGAGGCCGCGCCCGTGCACGACGACAACGAGTGGGGCATAGAGGTGGTGGCCGAAGCTCACGCGCCGGGCGCCGGGCCGGCCGTGGCCCGGCCCGGCGCTGCGGCCCAGGCGCTGCCGGCGGGCGTGGCCTACTCCGTGCCCCTGGGGCCCGGGGTCACGGCCGAGGAGCTTGCGGCACACGGCGTGCAGCCCAGCGAGGAGGGGCTGGACGACCTCCTGTCGCAGCTCTCCGCCTTGCAATGATGGGGGGGGCACTGGAGGGGCCGAATGTCGCGCTCAGGCCATCGTGTGGCTGGTGTGTAGATGTAATCATACGTGCAAGGGGAGGAAGCCCGCAGCGATGCAGGTCAACCTGCCCTTGCCAGACAGCCACCCCTCGACAAAAGAACTACAGCGTCAGAAAGGTCACTGGAGACAGGGGGGCGAGGAAGAGTGAATGTGTAGAAACGGGCGTGCTGCAGCTGCCAGCCGCTCTTTGGGAAGGAGGGAGGTCCAGGAGGATCGCACCCTTCATCTCCCCCTCCGTTTGGACTTCCCCACAATAAAAAGACTGACAGTCCTCAGGCCCTGACGGCGCTCAGGCGCCGCGCCGACCACCAGTGCCGGGCGGCCAGCGCCAGCTGGCGCCGGCCCCGGCCCAGCGTGCTGCGGCAGTGCCGCGCCGCTGCCTGCAGGCCCTGGCGCAGCGCGCGCCTCGGCTCCGCGCCCGGCGGCACGGCTGCCAGCCCCGCCGCCTGCGCGAAGGACCAGCCCGGCGGCGCCGCCGGACCCCGCGCGGCGCGCGGCCCGCGCCGCAGCGCCGCGTGCGTCAGCACCGTCCCCGTGCCCAGTCCCGCGCCCAGGGCCAGGATAGGCAGGCACCGCGTCCAGGCTACCACCGCCCAGGCCCCCGCCGCCAGCAGCAGCGTCAGCGCCTGCTGCCCAGGCCCCGACTGGGCCTGGGAGGCTGCCAGCGCCGCCTGCTGCGCCGCAGCGCCCTCCACGGCGTCCGTGGCGGCGGGGTGGCCGCCAGGTGTGGGGTCCGCCGCGCCCGCCAGCGCAGCGGCACGGAGCATGGACAGCGCCAGCGCCGCCGCCCCCAGGAGCGCGGGGGGCCGCAGGTAGAAGGTCAGCATCACAACCAGCAGCGCCAGGCGCAGGTAGTTTGGCGCCCAGCGCACCAGATTCTCCTGGTGAGTGTGATTTGTCGGTGTGGGGGTGATGTCGTGAATGGTGGCGGCGATGACCGAGGGGTTGACTCGCACGTGCCTCGGCCACTGCGCCCAGTCAACCATGCGGCACCCCCTTCCACCCTGCTCCATCCCCATGCCAGCTGGAAGTGTAAATACCTGACCTCTTCCTGCTCACCTCCGCCCTGTCCAGGAGGCAGTCCAGGTCATGGGGCAGGTTGTAAGCGGCGTCCAGGCACGGCGCCCCCCAGCCTGAAAACTCCTCCCAGGACCGGTGGGGCCGCTTCAGGTCGTGCAGGGTGAGGGCGCTCAGGCGTGGGCCCTTGTATCGGGCGACGCGACCGGGGCTGGGGGAAGGGCTGGGCCCGGGCAGGGACCCCACCGCCGAGCGCTCGAGGGCGTGCAGGCCCCGCACCCTCTCGGTGCCGTCGAGGGGGACGGACAGGCACAGGGGACTACTCTGCAGCCGGTGGCCCTCAAAGGCCCGCATTGGCACGGTCGCGCCGGGCGGACTTGGGGGCGGTGGGCATGGGGAATCGCTGATGTGGGGAGGGAGAGCCGAGCTGCGCAATGCATGGATCCGGGGCAGCCTCGCAGGCGCAGCACCCCTCCTCCCGGGAGTCGAATGGATCAGGGAGGAAGCCCATTCTCCACTGAAGTCGACACGTCCCTCACGAGCGATTAAGTATCCGATCGTGCCTCATCAGCATCGATTCTATTTTGCCGGGATCGGTTGACCAAGCTGTCTCCCATTCGCCTCTAGGCGGTAGAGAGTGGCCCACCCCTTCCTGAACTCACGGCCCCATTCCATGTCAGGAATGCCTGGCCTCACATCTAGCTTCCGCACATGGTGTCCCTTCACTGCTGTCCCTCGCACGTGTAGAAGCTGTCGGCCTGGAACCAGCGGCGCGGTACGACCATGGGTCACTCCAGCATGGGGAGGGAGGAGGCCCTTCTCCGAACTGCAGATGCCGGCCACCTTTCGTAATGATGCCTACCCGGCAGCATGGCCCACACCGACCGAGGATGGGTACGTCAGGGTTGATGAAGTGGGCTGCTCGAGTTGCCCTGCCATGTGCCAATGTGGCAGAGCTGGCTGCATGGACAGGTGCAGACAGGGGTGGGCATTGATCCTGGACCCGAGTTGCAACTTGTGCAGGGAGAAGGCTGCTGGAGATCTGAGAGACGGAAGTGATGGGGCAGCGGCTCCAATGAAAGCACTCGCCGAGGGTGATGAGGCCCCAACCCCTGCGTCCCTGCCGGTCAAGCGGAGAAAATCCCCTGCAGAGAGAAAAAAGGTGATCTGGGTGCCCTCAGCTGTGCCTGGCTTTGATGTCGGGGCGGTGCAGCGATCCCTTTGACACACTTTTTGCCAAACGGATAGCCATGGACAGCTCTTTCTACTCCTGATTTCTGTCCCTTGTTACAGCGCAAGCCGCTGTCACTGGAGCACCGACAGAAGATCTCGCAGGCCAACAGTGGCAGGACCTTTACACTGAGTGAGCTTGTGGTGCTCGAGAAAAGGCTGGGGTGGGCCTTCTTTGGACAGATTCGTAGGCCATGGGCTCCCAAGCATTGTTTTGGGTATGATTCGGTGTGCACCCTGATTTCTGCCATCAGTTCACTGCTTGGCATCACATCTTAATCCTGTGTCGTCAGCATGATCCCGATGCACCCCCCCCATCCCCCCCGTCCACCATGCAGACCATCGGTACAACCTGTCACAGTGCCGGATGGGGACCACTCACACCGAGGAGGTCCGCAAAAAGATCTCTGCGGCCATGAGGCTCAGTCACGCAAAGCGACGACAGAAGGCGGAGGCTGCCAGGTAGGCGAGTGGGGTGTCGCCAAACGAAACGGAGCAGAGGCGTGTGAAGGCGTGGGCGCATCTGACTGCTCATGCTGTGCTCCAGGAAAGCAGATGGGGCAACCAACATTCCTCCCCCCTCTGGACTCTTGTTCGGTGTGCTGGACTCTGCAGCCAGCAGGCATCATGATGTTTTGCATCTCCTCACTCCCAGGATTGAGTCCATTATGTTTTCCTCTTCCCTTCTCCCCCCCCCCCCCCAACAGGGCCGCGTCCGGCGTGCAGATGCTGGAGCTTGAGGCCACGCTCATGCGCAGGCACGACCCCGCCCACCAGAATCTGCCCAGCCTGCTGGAGCTGCTGGGCCCGCAGGAGCTGCGGGACATCGCGGCGGGGGGCGGCGGCACCGAGGGCATGCGCGCGCTGGCCCGCGAGCGCCTGGTCATGTCGGTGACCTCGCTGCGGCACGAGCTGTCGGCCTGGATGCAGGCCCAGGCCGCGGAGCGAGGGGCGACGCCCTCCATGCGCGCCACCGCGTCCTCCCACCCCGCAGTGTACGCCAAGTTTGTGCGCTTTGTGGCGCTGAAGCAGGCGCTGCGGCACCTGGAGGAGGGGCGGCAGGGGTCGAGCATGTGAGGAGGGGTGTGGAAGGAGGCTGGGTCTGTAACGCAAAGTAGAAGGGTGATTCATGGTTGAGAACCACCGTCAGCTGAGCAGACCATGGCCATCCGCCTGGCATCTGAGGGGGGGCAAGCATGGGATGCGATTCGTCGGCTTCAAATCGAATCGTGAGGGCGCGAGCTTCCGTAACTCTAGCGGAGTGATGATCATAGGGAACGGTGCGACCGGCTTCGCGTCACGAACTCGAATTCTTATGTAGCCACAGGGTCGACAGGGCAATCATGGACCGCCCTACCTGCAAGGTTCCCGGCCGGGAGGCCTACCCGTCCCGGCGACTCCTTTGCTTGACGCTGGTACTGCTCGCCCTCCCCTGGGCATGGGCTGTGCCCAGTGCACCCATGGAGGCCCTGGACATTGAGATCGCGGCTGCCCAACTGTTTAGCTCGCAGGCCTCCGCCAGGGACTGCACCCCGGCCGAGGACCTCCCGGTCGCCGGCCTGGACCTGAGCGCGGAGGAGAGGGTGCTCCTCAAATACCTGTGCATACCCCAGAGGGACCTGTTACTCGAGGATGAGGACATTGCCGTGGTCCGGCGGGGCATTCCCCCCGGCGTGAACTGCACGGAGGTCCAGTGGTCAGTGAAAAACGATGGGGATGGGGCTCTCATTAATGGGACCCCCTGGACTGGGATGCTGAAGAAGGACCCCATGCCTTTGTACCATGTGGTCAGTACCTGCCAGCCGCCTGCAGTAAGCAAGGGCCTGCGTGGCATGAAGCACTTGCACCCCCCCTCCTGGTCTTCCTTCCTCCCGCTTTCAGGCTCGTGCCCCTTGCACAGAAGGAAACCAAGCTTTGGAGTCCCCCTCTCCTCTCGCGATCCCCCCCCCCAAAGCACACACACACACAAAACGCAGGTGCGACGGGGAGAGCCAGTGCTCTCTGGTGTGCGAACGTGGCAGCGTGGTCATCCCCGACTGGCAGGTGCACGCCATCCGCACTCAGCTGGACGCGCAGGCCGACGTGCCGCTCTGCCGGGCCTCGCTGCTGGGCTCCCACAACTCGGCCATCACTCTGGCGGACGGCTACGGCAACCTGGACGAGTACTGGCAGGGCTATTTCCGCTACATCAAGTGGGCCATCCCCGCCGGCGCCAGCCCCCGCCTGCGCACCAACAACCATTGGCTGTCGCTGACGGACCAGCTGCGCATGGGCGTGCGCGTGCTGGAGCTTGATGCGCAGTGCGTTACGGGGAAGGGGGGAACTGTGCTGGTTGGGAGGGGGGTTGCTTCTGTTATTCAAGGGAGGAGGGTGTGCACGGCAGGGAGGGCAAGAGGGAATCGAGGCGTCTGTGTAAAAGGGGGAATTATTGGATGGCTGAGGGCAGAGGCTGTGCAAGGGGAGGGGATGGGACTGTCTATGACGCTGGCGAGGAACGTCTGTGGCCGGGAATGCTCGCGAAGATCGCTGGCATCCTGGGTCGCAGCAGCCCTTGGACTGCTAGGTCCGGCACTGGCCCCATGTGGCTTCCGACGCATCTCCCTCCGCCCACCCCCCCACCTCCTCTCCCTCCTTCCCCTCCCTCGCAGCTGGGTGGGCGGCGCGCTGCGCATCGCGCACTGCGGCGGACTGCACGTGCCCCAGCTCAACGCGCTGGTCAAGGCCCTGAACCTGGTGGCCAAGCTGCTGGGCCGCCGCATCCGCTGGGACACGGAGACGCTGGGGTGCAGCCCGTCGCTGTCCTCCATTCCCGCGCTCGACCAGCGCACGCTGCTGGACGCGCTGGGCGAGGTCGCGGCCTGGATGGGCGGCGAGGGAGCCGCGGGCGACGCGCTGGTCCTCTTCTTCGACGACCAGGCCGACCTGGCGCACTGGGGCGTGGTGGGCGAGCTGCTGGGCGACGTCCTGCGCGCCTTCCCCCGCGCCTGGGTCTACGACCGCGACGACCACGCGCGCTTCGTGGCCGGGGTCGCGCGGGAGAGCGAGGCGGCGGGCCTGCCGCCGCCCTCCCCCGCCACCACCTGGCCGACGCCGCGGCAGCTGCGCGCCGCAGGCAAGCGGCTGGTGCTGGTGTCGGGGGCGGACTACGGCGAGGCCATGGCCCCGCTGGTCTTCCCCAAGGACGACGGCAGCGTGTGCGGGTGGCACGAGCCGGCGCTGCGCGCTGCGCGCGGCGCGCCGGCCTGCGACGTGCAGGGCGGCGACGCCGCGCGCCCGCTGTGGGACGGCGCCTGGGCGCGCGTCATCGCCTGCCAGCTGGAGTACGGCCCGCTGAACTGCGAGTTCCAGTGGAACCGGGGCAACGCGCCCTGGCTGGACGCCGCGGGGCTGGCCGGGTTCGCCGGCTGCGGGCTTGCCGTGCCGTCCCCGGACCTGCTCACCCCCGCGCGCGCGGCGGGGGCGCTGTGGGGCTGGGCGCCCGCACAGCCGCGCCCGCAGCCGCCGCTGGCGCGCGGGCCGAGCCTGCATGGCTGGTTTGGCGCGCTGGCGCGCGCCGTCTGGGACCTGCTGGGCTTCGCCCGGGTGCAGCTGCAGTACCGGCCGGTGCGTCTTCGTGGACGAGAGTAATCAGTGCCTTTTCTCTGTTCTTTTTTGGGGGGGGGCGGCTTCACTGAGGATGGTCTTGGGCAGCGGTGCGGCACAAGAGCGAGGGTGTCGGCCAGCAATGGGGTGCCATCCCTCGCACGCCCACGAGAAGCGAAGAAGGGGGTGCGGGTATCAGCTCAGCCCACTGCTTGCTAGAGCCTAAGGGTGCACACATGTCGAACCCCTCCCCTTCCCAACCACCCAACCACCCGATCCAGGCCGGCTGCGCGGTGATCGACGCGGCGAGCGGCAGGTGGGAGTCGGTCAGCTGCGCACAGGACCTGCACAACGCGTGCCGGGCGGAGGCACGGTTAGCGACAAACGGCACGGCCCCCGCCTGGTGGCTGGCGGCCGACTGGGTGGTCGCGCCGGGCGCGCGTGGCGAGTGCCCGCCGGGGACGAGGGCGGATGCGCCCCGGCACGGCGTGGAGAACGCGGCGCTGTCGCGGGCGGTGCGCGCCGCCAACCGGACCGCGGCCTGGCTGCCGCTGGCGGGGGGGCCAAGCAGCTGGACCCTGGACGCCCTACCGGCGTGGTCGTGACATGCGCAGGCTCTGAACCTGGAGCAGGGTCGCCTTTGGTGACTCGTGTATCATATGTGGTTATCTCTTTGGAGAATTTCCTCGCAAGAAGGGCACCTCGTGCCCATGCGCTTTTGCCACGCACACTCCTGGGCGCCCAGGTGAGCGCCTTCCCCACGGTGTACGGCACCCTGGTGCTTCTTCGCCAGACCTGGGGCAAGAATACTTTGTCACAGAGGACAGGATGGTTTATGGGACAGGGTGGGCGAGAAGGACAAGCGGCCAGCTAGAAGTTGAACTCCCCCGTAGCCTTGTGCAGGAGGTAGTCCCTACCATCCAGCTGCAGGATGCAGTGCCGCAGGTTGACCTTCCACCGCGCCTTGGACCGGTGCACCTTGTCAAACTGACCCAGCAGCTGATCCTCCGAGTCACTCCCCACCGCATCCACGTCTGAAAAGGGTCACAGGGATTGTGATGGGCTTGGGTGAGAGAGCATTGCCAGAGCTTGGGTGTCGAATGGGGTCCCGTGTCCTTGAGGCAATTGACGAGCGGCATCACTCAGCCCCTGCACTGAGCTGTCCGGGCGTGCATTCACCAAGTCTGCACCACCAGACACAACTTCAGCACCTTCGAGGTCGTCGTCCTCGTTAAGTTCATCATCGTCTAGCTCCACATCATCAAGGTTGTCCTCGGCCTCGGCCTCGGCCCCAGCCGGCACAGATGAGCTAGGGTCGGAGACGCCGGCTGCCTCCTCCGCGGCTCCATCCTGGCACCGTGTTTTTTGGAGAGCACATCAGCATGACCATGCGCATGTGTCAATGATCCTCGCCACTGCAGCAGCCACATAGAAGGAAGAGTTCATTCACCACTCTTCCCTTGAACCCCCACCACCACCGACGTACACACTCCCATCTGGCCACCAGCGCACCCATTGAGGGATGGAAGGGGTCTGAATGGCCTCTGTCTTCACAAGCTTGGTGGGGGGCGTGTCGCCCGTCTCGATGATCGGCCGTTTCCTGTCGCCATGGTCGAGCGCGGCAGCACCAGGCCCTGGGCTCTGGTCCTTGGTGGGTCTGGCAGCCAGGACCGAGGCGTCCTCGCTAAGAGTGAGGGCGTCTGCTGCTCGTACGCCCTCCTTGCTCTGCCTGAAGGGTTGACGGGAGCTCGGGACCGAGATGACACTGCTCCACAAGCCTTCGTGTCTAGCACCTCTTCCCACCCATCCTCCTCAGTCGACTCACTTCCCCGACGGATCGTTTGCCTTCCCTAGCACTCCAAGTTTTACTATGTGGGACTCCCAGAGGGATCGAAGCTCGTCCAGCACGGCTCTGCGGAGACGGTGCGGTGTGTGCTCCTTGATCGCCTCCGCAACCTCCCCAATTCCAGTCATGCAACCCCCCCGTCCAGCGCGCCATACTCACTCATCTACTCCTTCCTGCACGAAGTCGGCCTTCACGTTGGCCACGACATCATCTATGACGCCCTGGTACACGCCCAGGGTAGCCTCGCCCACACCGGGACGACCGGCCTTCTCGCCCCCAGCACGCGACATGGTGGCTGTCTGGCGGATGGGCAGGGCCTGGCATGCCGCTCAAGTACCAGGGCCCCCACATGCAGCGCCTGGGGGGGCTCATGGGATGAAGAAGGCGGGAGGAGGACGTGGCCGAAGGGCGCACCTCGAGACTATCTCGCCACGTACGGTCCTCACCATGGCCATCAGAGTTCCCGCCACACCTCCTTCCTGGTGCTCCGCGACCGTTCCTCTGAAGTTGTCAGGTCTGGTGTTCTAATCAATGTGGCTCCGCCTTCACACGAGTCCATGGCTGGAGCGGCGACAGGGCAGTGGACCATGCACGAAGCATTGGCATGACGCCCTCGGCGTGGATCCTCCACCCCCCCCTTCAGAGCAGGCCTCCTCCCGGGGAGGGCATCCTGCCCGAGGACCCCGGCGACAGCGCGGCCAGCGTGGCAAAAGGGTCCCTCGCGCCCGCCGCCCTCACCAGGTCCTCGCCGCCGCCCTGCGGCGTGCCCGCGGCGCCTTGGGTCCAGCGCGCGGTGCCCCCCGGGGAAAGCACGGCAGGGCTGGACGTCGGCGCGCCGTTGCTCAGCCCCGCGAAGAAGGACGTGTCCAGGGGCGGCACCGGCGGGCGACCGCCCGGCGGTGCCCCTGGCGGCGCCGCCTGCCACGGCGCGGCGTCGGACCCCTGGGCGCCGAAACCAAAGGCGTGCTGCGCGCCGGGCAGCGCAAACGGGTCTGCGCCGCGGGTCGGCTGGCCGTGGGCCGGCTCCGCCCCGTAGGCAGCAAAGGGGTCCGGCCCGGCAAAGGGGTTGGCCGACGCGTGGGGCGGGGCCTGTGCGCCGCCGGGCGCGGCGGGCGGGGCGACGTCCAGTCCCTCGAGCGTCAGGCCCCCCAGCAGGTCCAGCGGGGAGGGCGCCGCGTGCGCCGGGGTCCGTGCCGGGGTCCCGGGGGCGCTGCCCAGCAGGTCTCGCTCGCGCGGCGGTCCCGTGCTGGCGCCGGGGGAGCCTGGCGCCCCCCCCGGGGACGCCAGGCCCCCGCCAGAGCCGCCATCCGGGCCCTCCTCCCCCCCCGCGGGCTCCTGGCTGGGGGCCAGGACCATGCCCGGGTCGCTGGACAGCGTGCGGGGGTGGGACGCGGCGCCGCCCTCGCCGGCTCTCCCGGAGGCGGAGTGTGCCAGGCGGCCCTTGCGCAGGGGCCCGCTCCTCTGTGCAGTGGAGGAAGAGAGGGATGGGTCGGGACAAGGGGGTTGTGCAGCCTCTTTGTCCCTGGGGAGGGTGCGGGCAGGGGCCCCGACGACCCCTCCCCAGGAAGCGCGCCATGAAATGGAGAGGGAGCTGGGCCGCTGGCACACCCTCGCGTTCCACCCCACCCTCCCGGAAAAAAGCACCACGACACCCCCCACCACCTTGGGCAGCGCAGCCTCGCCCTCCGGCCGCGGCGCCTCGGCCAGGTACTCCTCCATGCTGGCCACGAAGTCGGCGGGCGGCGGGGTGAGACTGGGCAGGGAGCGCGCGGCGCCCACGCCGCCCAGCTGCCCCACGGCAGCGTAAAAGGCGCTGAGCGCGTCGGTGCCTGCGCTGGCCTCGCGGTAGATCTCCAGCCCCTTAACTGTGTGGGGAGAGGGGGGGGAGGAGAAGGGGATCAGGTTTTGAGCTGGGATGGGTCTCTCAGCGGGGTCATGGACGGCCACCGCTGGGACAGGATGCAGCGCGCGCCGGGGCAGGCTCCGAGCCCCCGACCCACCTCCCACCAGCAAACCTGTTGCCCACCACGACGCGCAGCAGACCACACCGCAGGTCCACCACAGGGACCCCACCTGCTTGCAAGTAGGGCATGGAGAAGTAGGCGTCCGCCAGGTTGATGACACCCTCGCTCAGCGCCTTGTACAGCTGGAAAGACTCGCGCACCACGGCGTCCAGCGCTGCCTGTTGGGAGGGAGGAGAATTGGGGGCAATTCGTGCTTTCTTCTCATGGCTCTGATGGGCTGGTGCATCCTTGCCGGGCCAGTACATGCGGATTCCAGGCCGCGCTCCCATGAAGGGTGAGGGGCACAGCCCTGCACCTCCAATCCCAGACGCCCGGAATCAGGTCGGCAAGCAGCCCAGCACGGCAGCGACGCCCAGCCGGGAGTGTCGTACAGTGGGGAGACAGCTTTGCACCCAGGCCAGGCATCCTTCCCCTTTCGAACAAAACCGAGAAACTCGCCAGGGCCACGGGATCGTGGGTGGCCGCGCCGCGCGGCACGCAGTCCACCAGGTGCCGCTGCAGGCGCTGGAGCAGGGGTAGCTGGTGCAGCAGCTCCGCCGCCGGAAGCGTGCGGAACCGGCCCGTGCCGCCCGGCGAGCGCTGGGCGTCGGCGGGGCCGGGCGGCGCGCCGTACCCCGCCGCGCCGTAGCCGGCCGCGCTTTCCCCCCCCGGCGCGCCCGCACCGGGCCGCCTGCCGCCACGGCGCTGCAGGTCCAGCGCACGGCGGCGTACAGCCGCAGCTGCTCGTCCAGGTACTTGCCGTAGGCGCGCACAAACTCTGAGAAGTCAAACCGGCCCTCGATGTTGGTGGTGTCGATGAAGTTGTCCACGCCCAGCGGGCCGCGGCCGCGGGCGGGCGCGCCCACGCGATTGATTTCCCCCCACACACCCTCATCCGTCTCGGCCATCAGGCGGTGGATGGTGATCAGCGACTTGAGCGCTGTCTGCGTGTGGAGTAGGGGTGGGGTGGGGGGCGTTAGACAAGGTTTCAGAAAGAGCACCGAGAATGTTGCATTTGATTACGCGCCTGCAGAGCCTCTACGCAGCACGACGCTCCAAATGAGGGAGCGGCGGGTCAGGGACAAGATCGGCCTGGCACAGTGCCAGGCTCTACCCATTCGCAGGACGAGACCAGAGGGAAGCCATGGGCAGGACTCGGGGGGGGGAGGAACCCATGGCGGAATCACATCCTGCACCCATCAATCTTGAGGAAACCACTGGCTCAACCCATGATCCTCCACTCCCCGCGCACCAGCCAGTCAGAGGCGTTGTGCAGGCGCTGAAGGAGGTGGGACACCACGTAGCTGGCGGAGCCGCTGCCACCCCCGCCGCTGACAGCCAGCTTCAGGGCTGCACAGGTTTCGAATGAGAGGGGGTCTTATCTATCCCCCTACACAGTCGACACGCATCCGTGCCACACAACATATCCCTGCACAGCACTACCAAACCAATCACGGCGCCCCTCCATTCGCACTTCTGACATGTTTCTCCTTTGGAGGGACCCGGGTTTGGGGGGTGGTGGCCTTCACTAATGCAACATCCAGCAGCTGCGTCGTGGCATGGTATCCGACAGGGTGGGATGGTGGGACAGGGCATGCTCCGCCCCTGCTCGGTAGCATCAGAGCCATGCCGGCCGCGGAACACCCTCCAGCCACCCCAGGACACACCTTGGTGTCCGAGCGTGAGGTCTTTGCGCCCGCCAGCTTCCATGTGTCCGACGCCCGAAGACCAAACTGCCTAACCGACTGTTTCAGGCTCTGCGCAGTGGTTAACTCAGTCATGACCAGAGATCGGGATGATGGTGCTCGCGCTCCTCCAGGTGAGATCGCCTCGCCTCCGTGGAACCGACAGGTGGCCTTGATCGGTGCGCACAGCCCAGCGTCAGTGGTAATGCATGGTGGTCAGGTGGTCTTACCAAGCTGATGGGGGGGTTTAGGGGGACCTTCAGATGTTGCTCTCCTTCTCTGTACCTGACATGAAAAACCGAAAGAAGAAACCACGATCACCGCTGTGCTGCCCACCCCCTCGTGCGGGGCAACGAACGCCGGGAGGGGAGGATTCACCGGAAGACTCTGCTCAAGAATCTAGCCTGTGTACCAAGTCTTAACCCCCTGTGCTCTGCGACGCCTCATACTCCGCGAGGCTGTGGAAGGTTCCATCAGGGCTGCCCCCATACCCTCGCTACCCACAATGTCCCGCTCTGCTGCCGACCGAGGCTGCCTGGTGTACGTGGGTAACTTGCCCGACGACATTCGCGAGCGTGAGGTGCGTAGAAGGTGGATTGATGTGAGCTCGGTCAGGGTGGACTTGCCACCCTGGCCGGCAGCCGCGTCGCGATGACGTGCGCTTCCCGTGTGCCCTGTTTATACGAAGTGCCTCCTATGAAGCTTCTCAAGGTCCTCCCATGGCTCTTGCACGCAGATCGAGGACCTGTTCGCCAAGTATGGACGGGTCCGTCAGGTGGACCTGAAGACCCCCGCCCGCCCCCCCGCGTTCGCATTCGTGGAGTTCGAGGATGGCCGTGACGCTCAAGACGCCGTGCGCGGGCGCGACGGCTACGACTTTTACGGCCACAGGCTGCGCGTGGAGCTGGCCAAGGGCGGCTCTCGTGGCGGCGGAGATTTTGGCGGCCGCGGCGGTGGCTTCGATGACCGCGGGGGCTACGGCGGTGGCGGCGGCGGCTACGGTGGCGGCGGCGGTTACGGCGGCGGCTACGGCGGCCGCGGCCCGCCTGCCCGCGAGTTCCGCCCCCGCTCCACTGGCTTCCGCGTGACCGTGCGCGGCCTGCCCATGTCTGCCAGCTGGCAGGACCTGAAGGACCACTTCCGCAAGGTCTGCACCCCCTCCTACACCAACGTCATCCGCGAGCGTGGCGAGGCGGTCGGCGTCGTGGAGTTTGACAACGAGGAGGACATGGACCGCGCCATCCGCAAGCTGGACGACACCGAGTTCAAGAACCCCTTCGAGAAGGCGTACATCCGCCTCACCGAGGAGGGCGGGCGGGGCAGGCCCGCCGGCGGCCGTGGCCGCTCCCGCTCCCGCTCGCCCAGCCGCTCGCGCTCCCCCCGCGGCAGGCGCTCCCGCTCGCCCAGCCGCTCGCGCTCACCCGCCCGGCGCTCCAAGTCGCCGGCGTCCAGGTCTCGCAGCCCAGCCTCACGCTCGCCCAGCCCGCGCCGCGGACGATCTGCCTCACGCTCGCCCAGCCCCCGGCGCAGCGTCAGCCGCAGCCCCCGGCGCAGCGTCAGCCGCAGCCCCCGGCGCAGCGCAAGCCCCCGGCGCAGCGCAAGCCCCGCCCCGGCCGACGACTGATGTGGCGGTGCAGTGGATGGTGGTTGTACCAGAGTCGACGTCAGAGGCCGCCGGCATGCATCGCTGCCGGCGTGTGAGCTGAAAGGAGGTTTGACCAGCGCCACCCCCCCCTTGGAGACTGCTGCGGTCCAAGGAGTTGCTCCCTGCCGCAATCCCACTCCCAGGACCGCTGGCTGGCTGCCTGTGGCCTGTTTCACCCCCCTTCCATTTGCTCTACCCTGCTGCATGCACCCTCCACGAACACCACGCAAGCTTGTCCCACAGCTCCTGTAGGTCCCTCTGGCCAGCGGAGTGGCTGGTGCCGATGGGAGCCCGACGCGCGTGCCGCTTGGGCTGACCGTGTAATGCTGGGGTAGGGACGTGCGCTGTCTGGCTGGCCGCGTGGAGCGAGCAAGCTGGACTGGATCTGGGAGGCGAGGGAGCACCTGGGGAGGCAGCCTGGCTGGGCCTGGCTGCGAAAGACTGTGGACTCGGGGCGAGGGGACAGGGCTCTGGCGTGAGGACACTGAAGGAGCAGTGGCGTGAGGGCAGAGTGGAGCGCGAGATTCCCAGGGGCGCCAGCTGGGGCATGCAAGGGAGCAGAGCAGGAGTCGGGGCGTCGTGGGCGGCGAGCCCTGCTGCACGGCAGCGGGCGAGTGGGCATGAGGCGTGCAGGGATGGAGGGGACACGTGAGCTGCCTGGCACGGAGCTACGATGGCAGAGCAAAGGAAGTCCAGGCGCTGTTGAGCCCATGAGGTGCCTCAGCGAACGCCGAGATCGTCGTCGATGTGGTGCTCGAGACATCATGAACGAGCTTGGCGCCTGGCCTGTTGGCAGGAAGCGTGCTGCGAAGATGTGGAGGGCGTCCAGGACCCATGCAGGGCACCGTGCTCGGGCGCGGCCGCTTCAGGACCTTGAAAAGCTGTGGCACGGGGTTTGAGGACCAGCCAGGCCCGGAGCGGTCGGGCGCCGCATCAGCATCATCTCTGCCTGCTGAAGTTGGCATGGGGCCTCCAGGTAGGTGGTGTGTGCCGGGTGCCAGTGTTCCTGCCGCTGCTCAAGATCTCCAGTCTCTGTCGTGCGAGTGCTTGCATGCCCTGGCTGTCGCTTGGAATATCTACATGCTGTGCTTTTGGAACACAATGCATCGTGTGTGACGGCAACGCCCCAGTTTGGCCAGAGTGGTGCAGCGGCGACACATCCAAGGGGGTTCGATGTCGCAGTCGGCCACTCTCTGCCATGCATGGTGTGCCCTCTGCAGGTGCCCACAGAACCTCACCCAGGCCAGGCAGCACGAGGGCCTGGCCCTGCAGGGGCCCTCACGGCGCGCCACCGCCTGCCACCGGCGCCAGGTCGCGGTCGGACGCCAGCCCCGCGGCGTCCACCGACCAGGCCCACGCCCAGCGCGCCAGCTCGGCATCCCGCGCCGCCGGGCTGGGCGGCACCGGTGCGCAGTCGCTGTGGAGGTACGGCGCGGCCGCCTCCTCGGCCAGCACGCGCGGGGAGGTGGCGGCGTGCACCGTGGACCGTGCGCCCTGGCGCGGCGTCAGCAGCACGCCTGCCAGCAGCCGCGCGTACAGCCATCGCACCGGGCCGGGCAGCGTGTGGATGACGTTGGTCAGCACCTCGCCCGGGTGCACGGCCACGCTGCGCACGCTGGGGCCCGCCCGCGCGTCCAGCTCCGTGGAGAACAGCACCTGCGCGGGTGGGAGGGGATTGGGGGCTGGGCTCGACGGGGGGGCCGGCGTGGGAGGGAGAGGCGGCGGTTGGGGGGGAGATGCATCGGGCCAAGGCAGGCGCGGGGGCAGGGCAGGCGCCAGCAGCCGCGGCACTCGCCTGCAGCAGCTTGCTCTGGCAGTACGCGGTGAGGGACGTGTACCGCCTGCTCAGGTTTGGGTCCCCGCGCCGCACGCTGCCCATGTAGTGCAGCTTGGAGGAGACGTGGACCACCCTGGAGGGCGCACCCCTCTGGAGTGAAGGGGGGGGGAGTAGGGTGACTGCGTGTGAAAGCCTCAGCACATCCAAGCACGCCCCGCCGGGACATGCATGCATGTGCCTGTGCTCAGCCACACAGGCCCCGACGACCACAGATTGCCGTGCAGGCTCTACTCAGATGCGCTGGACCCCACACCCCATTGACTCCAGTCATTCACCTGCGTGCACCCTCGCTTGAGGGCGGGCAGCAGCAGCATAGTCAGGAGGAAGTGGCCCAGGTAGTTGGTCGCCAGGTGGGACTCAAATCCCTCGCTGGTCAGCTTGTAGGGCGCTGTGCAAAAGGGATGGGGTGGGGCGCAGGAAGGTCATCCAGTGTTTAGGATAGAAGGGGGGGTTAAGGTGGCAAGAAGGAAGAAAGGGAGGAAGAGGCCTGCGCAGGGCGAGGCACAGGCTGCCCAGTGCTGGTCTCTGGGTGGACAGCCAGGCACGTGGCGGATGCATGCGCCCACTCTGTCACTCAAACAACTCCAGGTCGACATGTGTGGCAGACCGTACAGCGCTGTCCCATCTGCAAGCTTACGCATCCTGGATCCAAACAACCATGCCGCGGCACCTGACATTGAGAAGATGCCAGCGTTGTTCACGAGGACGTGGAGGGGCCGGCCCAGCGACTCCCAGGCTTCTCCAAATTTTCTCACCGACGCCAGGCTCGACACATCCAGCTCCATGACCTGAGAATAAAGGTTGATCACACACAGTTTTAATTACAGAGGCCACCTTTCAGGGCCCCGGTCTGGTGAGTTGCATCACCCATTCTCCAGCATGAGCCTTCCACCCTCCACCAGCCGCCCACCTCCAGGTTCGGCACCGCCCTCCCCTCTGCCGCTGCTGCGCCCTCCAGCTCCTTCTTCAGCTCCTCACCTTTCTTAGGGTTGCGACATGCCAGAACCACTGCAGAGCCAGAAATTAGGGTTCTCGTGAGCACAGTGCACGGTGGTAACGACCGCAGGAGAGCAACGAATGTGACGGTACGCACTCCCCTTGTCCAGCACAGGTGCGTGAGACCTCCCAACCCCTCCTTAGTGCTTCACCCCACCGTTTGCGCCCCGACGAGCAAACTCCGTGGCTGACTGCTGCCCAATGCCGCCTGTCGGGCCGGTCACCAGCACAGTTGCGCCAGCGAGAGATTCCCCGATGTCCCCCAAGTCCGGAATGCTCCGCATTGTTAGTTTCTGTGGTATTTGATTAACATTGAGATTTGATCCTACGCCTCAGCGAAACTCGAATTCCCCGATCATGGGTTCAGTACGAGCGTTCCTCACCTGTGTGGCCACCTCCCATACCACCGCCAGAAGCTCCCGCAAGTACGTCAATGTCTCCATTGATATTAATCAATATGGTACATGTGCATTGGGAGGTGCTGGGATTAGGGACTTCGTTACTCGCCTATTGCAGAGGTGTCCATTACAAATTTGCGCGCGCGCTGCAGAATCTAAGTGCGCCCCCATGACGACCCCGTCCTCCACCTCCTCGATATCAATGCAGCGAGCGAGATGTCCGAAGATGGGTAGGATCCTCATCCATTTGAATCAAGATTCGGAGCAGCAACGTTGAACCCCCAGTGCAAGACGGCCCATCAGCCATAGGGATCTTGGAGAAGGACTTTCTGTAAGGGAGGCTTCACTGGATGTCCGAACCTGCTACCATCATGTTCCCTCACCCGCACAGCCGCAGCACATCCTTTGTATCATGACTCATCACCTTTTATATCGTGCTCGCAGATCGGGGCATGGCATTGCGTGTCGAGCGTCGCCTGGAAGGTAGGTGCACAGGCATGTAGATGCAACCTCCTCCGGTCCCCTCTGGTTCTGCGTCCATCGCAATGCACCCCTCGGTATTCCGCACGCAGGCGGCGGCAAGGACTCGAAGCTCATACTCACATTCAGAGGACCCAGTGTGAGGCGTGTCTTCTCCGCAGGTAGTGTGTCGGAGGGTCGAGGCCCGTTTGGGAGTTGGAATGTGGCCGCAGGCTGCGGGCCTCCAATAATTCAGGTGGCCCCAGGCGTGTCCCCACAGCGGCCCCACCCCACCCCTCACGCCTGGATGCAGGACCAGCACAGGCAACCTCCAGCGGAGTAGAGACGACCGTGCCATCCGCTGCCTGGCACGCAAGTCCAGTGTCCTCAGGTGAGGTTGTTGTGTGGGGGACTCCTGCTCCGTAAGATATGCGCATCGGCGGCACTGAATCTGCACCTCATGCTGGACGCCTGGGAAGCTATCAACTGACAATGCTCCAGCGTGCATGCCCCTGGGTGACGGGGCTGGAGGCTGATTTGCGTCGGGCCACACATGTTCCTTCATTGTCTCGGCATCCTCTGCACGACTTGGTTGCAGATCGGCAACCTCCCCCACCTTGCTCACTCCTCTCTCACCCCGCCCATTCCTTCCACACTGTCCAGGCAGCACCCACATGGACAAGAGCGCCTCCCTGGCTGACCTGGAGCCCGGGCGCGGGCTGGATGGCCCCGGTCCCACCACCCCGCCGGAGCGCTGGAGCGAGCCCCACCTGGCAGCCCACACCCCTCCATCCCCACCTGTTTTTGGCCCCTCAGACACCGAGCTGCAGCCCCTGGGCCCCGGCGCCCGACCCCTGGCCATGCAACAAACGGGCGTCGCATCAAAGCCGGGCCTGCCGCCTGCGGTGGCGGGGCTGGGCAGTGGCGGGCTCCCCCACGGGACCCTGGTCTGGGCAAAGCTGCCCACCTTCCCCTGGTGGCCCGCGCAGGTCCAGATGCCGACCCCTGCCCAGGCCAGGAGCCGCCAGGCCAACGCCGCCGAGGTCTTCGTGGTGTTTTACGGTGAGACGCACCGCGCGGGCAAGGACGAGGTGCTCTAGTCCTCTGTGCACATGGTGACAGCTGCACCGGACGTGGCCGGGCCCGGCGGATTGCAGGCAGTGCCATATTCCCCGGGCCTTTTGAGCCGGCATGAATCTCACTGGACGTCCTTCTTCAAGAGGAGCGCCCCACACGACGCAACCTCATTGTGTCCCTCTTCCTCTCGGTCACCCCATTGCACAGGCACCGCTGACTATTCTTGGGTCCCTACCAAGGACTGCGCCCTCTTCGGCACATCACACCCCCACTACACACGCTACGCCAGCACGCGGCACAAGGGGCTGCAAAGGGCCGTGGATGAAGCCTGGGCAGCACTGGGCCAGCCACGGCCCGAGGTGGCGGGCAAACCCCGGGGAGGTTGAGCTCGCATACGGGCGAGTCCTCTATATTACATGCGTGCATCCTTTCAAGGATCCCATCTCAATGCCCCGGAACCGGTCAGGCGCAGAGGGCGATGGGCAGTTGTCTGAAGGACCCGCCCCC